AATCATTGTCTTATATATATATTTATTGAGGTTTGTTGCTTGGTATTATAAAATTTTAAACTTTGATTATTTTAAAATAATATTTTTTAAACTAATAAATATCAACTTAAACAAATCATTAAAAAATAATTATTAAAAAAAAATTCATCACTCTCATCATTTTTCCTTTATTTCTTGGAAACTAAACATTTCCTATTAGAAGACTTGGAAAAGTAATTTCATTTCCACCTAAAAGTTGTTCTTCCATCCAATAATTTTTCTAACAAGTTGTAAGTCAAGGTCTTCCCCATTCATAAATAGCACAAAAGTACAAATGCTAATCGTCAAGGTTTGCTTCATTTTTCTGGGGACAGATAGAGAACGAATCTTCGCACCGGAAGGGGGGGGGGGGTGGTGAAGAGAGGACTTTCCCTCCTTATCGTCACGAAGATGCCTTCTCCTTAGGCCATAATTACAATCAAAGTATTAAGTAAGTTTTTCTTTCTCCAATAAACACTGGGATTAGGACTTTAAAAATTTTGAATTTAAGTTTTTAAATTAATAAATACAAACTCTAACTAGCTAAATTTAAAATTGAGTAGTGATACACCAATTAATTATTGTTCGTCTTATTAGGACATTTGGGTTGCATGTCCTCTCAACTTTATATTATGTACATCTCAATATAAAAAAAGAAAAATGCAATTTCATATTAATAAATTGAGTTAGGGACTATTTACGTGCCACTTTTATACACATTTTTTTTTTATAAAATCTTAACTGTTTATTTTTTTATTATAAATAATTAAAACTATCCACTTTTTATTATATTTTTTAAAGATAATTATCTTTTTATCCAAAAACTCAAGATAAATGTCAAACATACTTATTGGAGAGATGAATGGTCCACAACCTCAAAAAACTTAGTAATAATCTCCTTTACTTGTCTAGTAAAATGAAAATCTTCATATTTAGGAAATAAAGATAATGTTGTATATGAAGAGAAGAAAGACAAAGAATAAACAGTAAACACATGTATATCAAGATACTGAGAAAAGAAGAGGGTTATTTTATATATATATATATATATTATTAGATATGCTAAAAAAAATTTAATAACTAAATTTAGTGGAAATTAAGAATGGAAAGTCACTCAATGATAAATTAATTTTGAAATAATACGCTTTAACTATTAAAATTTTTTTAATAAAACAAAGTAAGGGCCTTTCTTTTATACTTTACACCGTTCAAAGAAATGCTAGTACATCAAAGTCAATAATTTCAATTGGCATTTTATACTTTTTTTTCCATTATAAATAATCCATTTATTAGTAATGAAGGTATAAATTCGTCCTTCCCTTGATAATCTTATCTCAATGTAAACCCATTTGTTACGATCTCTTTTTAATTCATTTTTAATGAAATAAAGAATTAAAGAGAAAGAAAAAGGATACATATAATTTTTGTGGAAAGTAGAAATACATGAATTGAATTAATAATGTGCGGGACCCATTTATGACAAAACACGGAATCATCAGGGAATAGTTTGCTTTACTTGAGTATATAAAGGCCTAAGGTGTATTGCTGGTAATAGAACGGAGACAGTAGCAGTACTCAATTGGTGGTTGATCTGAGTGTATTTTGATGGAGTCGAAATGGTTAATGTATGTGCTACTTACACCCTTCTTGTTAGAAGGGTTGTGGTGCCAAGGGTGTTGGGACCACGAGAGAATTGCTCTCCTCCAACTCAAGTCTTTTTTCGATGATCCTTGGAGTCTAAACAACTGGCGGGTGAGAGGAGAGGAAAATTTAGATTGTTGTCAATGGGAGAGTGTTGAGTGCAACTCTACCACCAAACGAGTCATCTCACTTGATCTTACTAGCACACGGGCTGAAGCATTTGGTTCTAATATTACGTATCTGAATGCCTCTTTGTTTCTACCATTTGAGGAATTGAAGAGTCTCAATTTGAGCGGAAATGGAATAGCTGGTTGCATTGAAAATGAAGGTTATTATCTACCTTTCAACTTATATATATTTGTGATTATCATAAGATTATCTACCTTTCAACTTAATTTTCTAATTATCTACTTCTTGTGCTTCCCCTTTTTAATTAATAATGTTATTGATCCTTTGACGATTAAAAAATAATAATAATTTGCAATTATCACAATCATCTTAAGATGTATATAAGTACAATCATCTCATTCTTGTTCTCCTATATGTTATTTATTTGCTATTTCTTAATTGAACCAAAATTACAAGTCACGTGATCTGTTTGCAGGTTTTCTTAAGCTTTCAAAGAAGTTGAGGAATTTGGAAATCCTGAATTTGGAAGATAATTTCTTCAATAACAATATTTTGCCATCTTTGAGTGAGCTTTTATTGCTCAAGTCTCTATATTTAGTTGGCAACGAGCTCCAAGCATCTAATCATACTGATGGTATAATTGTCCATCTTTGACTTAGAGAACCTATTTTTTTTTATTGCTTCATCTTAATATATATGTGCTATAAAATTGAGTTCGTAATTGTATGTATTGTAGGTTTCAAAAGGCTTTCTAAGTTGAGAAATCTAGAAACCCTTGATCTAATTAAGTTACAATAAGTTGAACAATATTATCTTATTCTCTTTGAGTTTTTATCGTTTAAGTCTCTATATCTAGTTGGCAATGAGTTCCAAGCATCTAACCATGTTGATGGTATAATTGTCCATCTTTGACTTATAGAACCCCCCTTTTTTTTTATTGTTTCATCTTAATATATATGTGCTCCAAAATTGAGTTAGTAATTGTACATATTACAAGTTTCAAAAGGCTTTCTAAGTTGAGAAATTTGAAAACTCTTGATCTAAGTTACAATAAGTTGAATAATAGTATCTTATTATTTTTAGGTGAGCTTTTATCACTTAAGTCTCTATATCTAGTTGGCAACATATTCCAAGCATCTAACCATGTTGATGGTATGATTGTCCACCTTTGACTTGTAAAACCTATTTTTTTATTATTTCATCTTGATAAATATGTGCTCTAAACATGAGTTAGTAATTGTACGTATTGTAGGTCTTGAGAGGCTTTCTAAGTTAAAAAATCTGGAAACCCTTGATCTAAGTTATAATAAGTTGAACAACAGTATCTTATTCTTTTTGAGTGAACTTTTATTGCTTAACTCTCTATATCTAGCTGGCAACATATTCCAAGCATCTAATCATGCTGATGGTATAATTGTCCATCTTTGACTTATAGAACCTATTTTTTTATTGTTTCACCTTAATATATGTGCTGCAAAACTGAGTTAGTAATTGTATGTATTGCAGGTTTTGAGAGGCTTTCTAAATTGAGAAATTTGGAAACGCTTGATCTAAGTAACAATAAGTTGAACAACAGTATTTTATTCTCTTTGAGTGAGCTTTTATCCCTTAAATCTCTATATCTAGTTGGCAACGAATTCCAAGCATCTAACCATGCTGATGGTACAATTGTCCATCTTTGACTTATAGAACCTGTTTTTTTTATTGTTTCACCTTAATATATATGTGCTCCAAAACTGAGTTAGTAATTGTATGTATTGCAGGTTTTGAGAGACTTTCTAAGTTGAGAAATCTGGAAACCCTTGATCTAAGTTACAATAAGTTGAACAACAGTATTTTATTCTCTTTGAGTGAGCTTTTATCCCTTAAATCTCTATATCTAGTTGGCAACGAATTGCAAGCATCTAACCATGTTGATGGTACAATTGTCCATCTTTGACTTATAGAACCTATTTTTTTATTGTTTCATCTTAATATATATATATACTCTAAAATTGAATTAGTAATTATATTTATTGCAGGTTTTGAGAAGCTTTCTAAGTTGAGAAATTTGGAAATCCTCGATCTACAATTCAATGTATTGAACAATAATAACTTATCATTTTTGAGTGAGCTTTCATCTCTCAAATATCTAAATCTAGCATGGAGTGACATATCATCATCAAACAATGGTACAATTTTAACTTTATGTTATATGCTAGGACGTTAAAATCAATAATTTGAATGGCCATTTAATATATTTTTTTTTCGTTATAAATAGTTCATCTATTAGTAATAAAGGTATAAATTCTTCCTTCTTATAAATAATTTATTTATTAGTAATGAAGGTATCTCTTGATAATCTCATCTCAATGTAAACCAATTTGTTATAATCTTTTTTAATTCATTTTTAATGAAATTAAAGAATTAAAGAGAAAGAAAAGGGATACATATAATTGTTGTGGAAACTAGAAATAGATGAGTTGAATTAATAATGTGCGGGACCCATTTATGACAAAACACGAAGTCATGGACTAGTTGCTTACTTTACTTGTGTACATGAAGGTCTAAGATGTATTGCTGGTAATGGTGTAGAGATAGTACATAGCAGTACTTAAATGGTGGTTGATCTGAGTATATTTTGATGGAGTCGAAATGTTAAGGTATGTGCTACTTACACTCCCCTTATTGGAAGGGCTGTGGTGCCAAAGGTGTTGGGTCCAAGAGAGAACTAATCTCCTTCAGCCCAAACCTTTGTTCAATTCTACTTTTTCTCCAAGAAATGGGGTGAGAGAAGAGAAAAAATTCAAACTGTTGTCAATGGAAGAAGGTTGAGTGGAACTTTCACCACTAGACGAGTTATCTCACTCGTCCTTATTTTCACACAGGCTGGAGCATGTAGCAGTTTCACTAACATGTATCTGAATGCATCTTTGTTTCTTCCATTTGAGGAATTGAAGTCTCATTTTGAATTTTAATGGAATAGCTAGTTTCATATTTTATCTGCCTTTCAACTCAGTTAAAATTGTGATTATCAACGATCTAGCATTTTAATATTTATATGTTCAGCACATTCATCTCATTCTTGTTGTTTTATCCCACATATTTTATTTATGCGTTACTTTTTTAATTAAACCAAAATTACAATTCTTGTGATCTATTTGTAGGGTTTCTTAAGCATTTAAAGAAGTTGAGCAATTTGGAAATCCTTGACTTGGAAGGAAATTTCTTCAATAACAGCATTTTGCCGTATTTGAGTGAGCTTTTATCTCTCAAGTTTCTATCTCTAGCTTACAACAATCTCCAAGCATCTAACCATGTTGAAGGTATAGATGTCTACCTTTCACTTATTGAAACCTATTTCCTAATTATTTCATCTGAATATATATGTGGCTCCAAAATTGAATTAGTAATTGTATGTACTGCAGATTTCAAGAGGTTTTCTAAGTTGAAAAAACTAGAATTTCTCAATCTAAGTTACGATATGTTGACCAATAATAGTATCTTATCATCTTTGAGTGAGCTTTTATCTCTCAAGTTTTTATATCTAGCTCAACATGAATTCCGAGCATCTAACTATGTATAGATGTCTCACTTTCTCTTATAAAACCCATTTCCTTATTGTTTAATATATCTTAATATATATGTGGCCCCAAAACTAAATAAATAATTATATATATTACAAGTTTTGAGAGCCTCCTTATGTCAAAAAAACTTGCAAATCCTAGATCCAAATCACAATAAGTTAAACAATAATATCTTATCATCCTTTAGTTATAACTAAACAACTTATTGGCTTCTAACTATTTTACAGTTTTAATTTTATGTTATATGCTTAGCAAAATTAGACAATTGTGGACAACATGCTTTGATGATTAATTTGTAACAGCTAATTTAGAAAAGCTGTCAAGACTTCAACATTTGGAGGTGCTAGACCTAAGTGGAAGAATAAACTTCAGCTACAACATCCTGTCATCTTTGGCAAGCCTTCCATCTTTAAAAACTCTATTCCTAGGACAAGGCAGAATAAAAATGAATCCGAGTGCAAGAGGTAAGCTTGCTTTATCTCCGTTTTATTATTACAGTTATAATTTTTCCTTTCAAAAATGTACCATCTTGTTATATTTTATTGGCTTAAAAATTTTTATGGTAAATTTTCATCTTTACTGGAATTTCTTTTTCATCTTTTTAGAATATTTTTTCTTACAAATATATGTCATTGCTCTAAATTTATTAATTATGATGGAAGATTGCATGAATACAATTAATTGTTTTTCTTATTAGGTTTTCATAACTTGACCAAAGTGGAAGAGTTGTTTATGGATTATTCTATCCTCCCAACCAACTTCTTTCATGGTGTTGGAGCATTGACTTCTCTCAAGGTTCTATCACTATCTAACTGCCAACTTAGTGGCTTAACAAGCCCAGGTTAGTTACAAATTTAAAGAAATAAGAACCATTGTCCAAATTTGACCATTTTTGCTAGATATATCTTTTTGAAGCTATGTGACTAACTTTGTAAGTGTTGTATATGGTCACAGGCCTATGTGAATTGACACATCTTGAAGAGTTGGTTCTTAACTACAATTATTTAGAGGGAGCCTTGCCTTCATGTTTGGCAAATTTGACTTCTCTCAAGAGATTAAGCCTCGATTTAAACAGATTTTCTGGAAATATAACTCTATCCCCTCTTAACAAATTGACAAACCTTCATTACTTGTCCCTTTTAGACAATGACTTCCAAATTCCCATCTCCCTTCAACCATTCTTCAACCATTCAAAACTCAAGGTTATCAAAGCAACAAACAATGAATTTTATGCAAATACCGCCATTGAATCTTTGGAACCAACTTTCCAACTAGATATCTTGGTTTTGTCTGGTCATGGAGATTGTGGAGCAATTCCAAACTTCCTCTACTCTCAACATGACCTCAAAATTTTAGACCTCTCACACCTTAACCTAACTGGAGAGTTTCCCATGTGGTTGTTGGAAAACAACACAAGGTTGAACACACTTTTGCTAGTTAGCAATTCCCTCTCTGGACCTATTGAGTTGCCAGCTCACTCTCATATGAGTTTGGAACATCTAGATATCTCCAAAAATTTCTTAGATGACCATATTCCAATGGAGATTGGAGCATCTTTGCCAAGTTTACGAGATTTAAACATTTCAGGAAATTCTCTTACTGGTAGCATTCCTCCTTCAATTGGTGATATGAATGCGTTGGAGTCTTTGGACTTATCTTACAATAACTTATCTGGTGGAATACCTGAGAAGTTAACCATGGGTTGCTCATCATTGAGGCTCCTTATTCTATCAAACAACAACCTACAAGGCCACATTTTCTATGGGAAATTTAGCTTATTCCTCTTGGATGAATTACAGTTAAATGACAATCACTTTTTTGGAAGTATCCCAAAAGTTTTATCTAACTGCTCCTCTCTGTATTTAATAGATTTTAGCAACAACAATCTCTCTGGAAGGATCCCGAGCTGGATGGGTAATATTTCAACCTTGGAAGAAATTATCATGCCCAATAATGGTCTTGAAGGTCCAATTCCTATTGACTTTTGTCAGCTTCTAAAACTTTTAATTCTAGACCTTTCAAATAACAATATTTCGGGGAGTCTACCAGCTTGTTTTAGCCCAAGTTTGATAAATCATGTTCATTTATCCAAAAACAGGCTAGAAGGATCACTGACAACACAGTTTTATAATAGCTCTTCTCTAATAACGCTAGATCTTAGTGACAACCAGTTAAGTGGTAACATTCCAAATTACATCAATATGCTTGGTAAGTTGAGTTATCTTATCTTGAAGAACAATAATCTTGAAGGTAAGATCCCAATTCAACTATGCGAGTTGTGGAGATTGTGCTTGATTGATCTATCTCAGAACCATCTTTCTGGCCATATACCCTCTTGCCTAGATATTACTACTTTTGATGAGTCATACAATGTTGGTCTATCTCTTGTTCGTAGTAATAATGCAGCTCTTGTTCATGATACTAATGCATCTCTTGTTCCTACAAAAGAACCAGTGCACTTCACAACAAAGAATGTGTCATATTCTTACGAGGGAACACTTCTTACCTACATGTCTGGAATTGACCTGTCCTGCAACAAACTGACCGGTGAAATTCCTTATGAAATAGGACAGCTTAGTAAGATTCATGTCCTAAACCTGTCTCATAATTTCTTGGTTGGTCAAATTCCATCTACATTTTCTAACCTTGAGCAAATCGAGAGCTTGGATCTTTCCTACAACAATTTGAGCGGGAAAATTCCTCCCCAGCTTATTCAGCTGCATTACTTATCTATCTTTAGGGTGGCATACAACAACCTATCAGGCGAGACACCGAAAAGGGTTGGTCAATTTGGAACATTTGATGAACGTTGTTATGAGGGTAATCCTCTGCTTTGTGGGGAGCCAATGAAAAGTTGCAGAGCAACAAGTCCACCATTGATCCCAGAAAGTCCAACCCCAGGTAGAGAAGATGATGGTTTCATCGATATGGGTGTCTTCTATGTGAGTTTAATTGTGTCTTACATAATGGTGCTCATAACTATTGCTGCAGTTCTCTACATAAATCCTTACTGGCGACGGGCATGGTTCTATTACGCTGAGATGTGCTTCATTTCTAGCTACTATTTTATCGTAGATCATCTTCCCAAGCAATTTCATTAAAGAATGTATCCAGATTATAGGTGTCCTTTCTATATATATTCTTTCTTATTTTCCTGTTCGGAATTGCAATGAGAAGTCATAGATATATATGCTCTTTCAAGTAATTAAAACTAGCGAGCAGAGTCTGGGACCTAATTTGACAAAAGTCAAGCCATGAGAGAGTATTCATTTGGAAGAATGACCATTCTTATCGTGCAATTGAAAATAATACTTGATTGGAGCAATAAAAAGAAACTAATTGGATTGAAGTGATAATTATTAGTTGATTAAAACATAAAAATAAGACAAAATTGAAAAACTAATTAAGAAGTCAGGAGTACATGTTTCTTAAGAATGTTTAGTTTCTTTTAGATTAGAAAAGAAAAGAAAAGAAATACTACGTATTCCTAAAAGGAGGTGGTAAACAGGTAATATATATTCGTTAAACATCCACTAATATGATTAATCTTAAGAAATATGTATCTAATGGTAAATAATCAATTTTAGAGGGTTAGGTCCAACTTCAAGTTTTAGAGTCATCGCTTAATAAAATTTATTTTCTTTAAATACATGGTGTTAATGTGAGGGTATATCATTAAGATCATTAAAAAGAGATTAATTTCAAAATATATGCAAGCAGGGTGAAAACACTGTAGTTGGAAATAGCCCATCGTAAAGAAATCTCAAATAGAAGCAGACTTAGAAAATATGGAAACATTTATTCAAAGTCAAATTATGTTAAGTGAGAAAATCTTATATCAAATAAATAGTAAAAAAATTGAGTTAAATACAAGAATTCAAATATCAATTTTCACATATTATTAATCGATTTTAGATTAAATGTAAGTTTTGCATTAAAATTTAAGAAAAAATGTGTAAATAAAGATATTAATTTTATATTTTTTTTCTATTTAAGAATATTAATTTTGTTAATTTTTAAACAAAAATATCAACTTTTAACTTTTTTTATTTAAAAATATCAACTTTTAATTTTTTTTATTTAAAGATATCAACTTTCAATATTCCAATTTAAAAATATGTTTGTCACATTGGCATTATCAATTTATCATCTAATTTATCATAGAATAAAAAAGGTTAAAAGTTAGTATTCTAAAATAAAAAAAGATGAAAGTTGACAACCTTAAATAAAAAAAATTAAAAATTAACATAATTATTTAAAACATAGTAAAATTAATATCCTTAAATAACAAAAATGCAAAGTTGACTTTCTTATTTACACATTTATTCTAAGATTTAAATATCAAATTTCACAAATTATAAATGAAGAACTTGACTTGTAATCAACTTCATATACAGGTGGAAACCCAAGAAAAGAAAAGAAAACTTCAATTACAGCGGAGATGGAAAAATGCATGGAAACATATATTCACA